GCGGCCGCATCGGGAATCCGGGGTGAGGGGCAGCTTGGAGAAAACGCCATAGTCATTAGCACCGTTTAATAACTACGCAGGAGCTGGGTGTGTACGCGTGATTAAGAGGCCAGAAGAAGGAAGTAGGGCGTACCGGGATCGCTTGGTAGTTTCTTAGATGCCCAGTCCAAGCGCAGGCCGAAGCGTGATACGTTAAAACACCGCGGCAGACCTGTCACGTGTAGGGAGGGGATGAAATTCCTTGGGCCTCCTTTGCCTGCTCTTCGTGTGGCAAACAGCGTTCTGATTCATTTCTCTTCGCAGGAAACTCTCTGACATCGTGTTTCCCAAGTTTTCGTTAAACTCGCTTTACACGACATGTTGCTGGTTCTCTAAAGTTATATCAATAAACAAACTTTCCGTGCAGTTCGGGTTATGTTTGTGCTAAGTTTAGCAAACTGACCTGTTCGTTTAGAGGGTGTTTCGACAAAAGAACCGAATGTGACCCGTTCTAAGTTTTATGGAGTCCAATTAAAAGAAAAAATAATTCGGCCAGCTAGAACATACTTGATTTCAAGTACAGTTAAGTAAACAGCTTTCTATTGTAATGGCTTTATTTTGAAGTGTGTGAAAGTGAGAGATTTGAATTACAAACTTTTCAAACAATTAGATTAACTGGCTTTCAAAATTGGCTTTAGTATGTAGCCATTATCAGATCAGACTTTGGTGTACCGATGGTATCTGTATGTAAGTAGTAAAAGTTACTGTCTCATCTTTTTAATAGGCAGATATTTCACCTGTTATCAGTTCTCACTTAAGAGAGCTTTTAATTTATTCAGCCATTGTTTAGGATGAGACGATTTGAATGCTTGTTTTAACATACTTTGCTTTCATTTGATAAAAGCCTATAGTACAATTTACTCTGAAAAAGAAAAGTAAGGGGTGTTAGCACAGCTCAGTAGTGCGATATGATGATGTCAAGGCAGAAGTTGAAGGTGATTCAAATGCTTCTCCTCCTTAGTAATGACACAATACTGTAAGCGCCATCTTCATCACTGTCATTAGTTGAGCAACCTGTTCAACCCTGCATTTTGTGACTTAGTTTGTAATTTGTCAAATGTGGGAACAAATATAACTTTTTGCCTGAGCAGTGCTTGCATTCAGAGAATGCTAGAAAGCATTTGCTGATCATTTTTTTTCATAGATCTTTCTATCCTTTCACTAAAACATTGAAATAGGAGTTCAGAGGATGAATGGTTATTCTTACAATTCATTTTTATTCCAAACTAGTTGCCTTTTCTTGGTTTAGCCTAATTCCTAGCTACATCGCAGGCTATGCTTACTAAACAGCTAGTAACAACTAGCTCTAGTTTTGAAAAACATCTTTGAAGGTGTGTTTGACACTACCAGCTGTCTGTAAACTAGGGATCTCAAAGCTCTTCCAAAGGCTAATTAGGCCTGATGACACATGTGTGAGGTATGCACACATTTCATAGTTGTGACTTTTCTGAATTTGAGTCATAGTTCGGAGTAAAACCCAGGCAATCTTGCTTAATCACTTAACTAGAAGTGTTTTTGAGTAATCTGAAACTGTGCTTATCCCTTCAGATTTTCCGAACGGTTATGTTCCCAGCAGTTTATTGTTTTATAGCTATTGCTATGTACGTTTAGCATTAAGTGTATATTCTGTGTGATTTTGAAATTGTTACCGACTGTCCAGTTGCTCACGACTAAAATGGGATCTGGTGACTCATTCAATGAAAGCTCCAGCAGAATCAGCAAAAGTACAGCATGGGTAGGTGTGTCCACTTGGTAACAAGTTAACTGCTGAATGGAATTGCCTCCTGCAAATCGAGTGCAGCCTTTTATGGCTGAAATGTAATGAAAGTAAGCCAGTTTTACTAGTTGCGAATTTTAATGAGAGTAGCGTGTGCCTGATTGCAGATGTATTCTAGTAATGTTTTAAAATCTATTGTAGAATGACAATGTGGTGTTGGTTAAGCAGAAATCTTTAGATTTCTTGTGTTTCTGCTTCGTAGAAGAGATGAGGAGAGCTGTTGAAAGTTTTCATGCTGTCCTTGGCTTTATGGAGAAATTGCATTGGTCTCAGATAGGTGCTCACTATTAATTAAGATAGTGAGTAATGTTTGAGTAGTGTTTGAGAAGGCTAGTATTGACCCACTTTGAGTCAGATGTTTGGGAAACGTGTCCAGGAACACACATTTTTGAGGAGTGGGAGGATTATTCTAGAAACAATTAGCATGAATTAGAAAAAGCCTCTTTTCTAGTAAAGGAAGCCCTGTTACTACTTTTGGAAATAATGAACTGTTTGTTGCTGGCGCTTTTGCTGGTGCTGGCAGTAATAATTCTAATGACTTCCGGGGCAATACCGAAGCGTTAGATGTTTCTGCTGTGGCCAGTCTGATATCCACAGTTATTTTTTTTAGCCATTTTTTTTTCCCCTTTGGTAATGTAAAGCCTTCCAATGCTTTTTGTTTCTTGTGAGCAGTATCTAGATTGCCTTTCTCTCTTGCTTAATTTATATTAAAGTTTGTGAAAGCTTTGTTAACTTATTTAAAAGACTGGCAATGCTTACATTTTCTGGTAACTTCAGCTTAAATCAGTTGTTGACTTGCTACTGTCGTGTGAATATGGAAATAGTATCAATAGATTATTTTTTTACAATAAAACGTTTGATGTTTCTCGTTAACTTCTACAGATTTCTTTCGAAGAATATAATCTTTAAATTCACTAGTGATCTGAAAACGTGGTAAGGAAGGACATAAAACATGGTGTACCAGCTGAACCAGGGGCTGATTGCACATATTTTTTGGCTGTGATATCCAACAACATAGCTAAAGATAAAGGCAGCACTTAAAGAACAAAACCATAAAATAAGGGTTTTCACAATGTGATCGGCCCTTGTCCTTCTCCTAAGAAAAGCAATTAACTGACATGATTGCTGTTTTAAAACTAATACTATACTGATTTCGGTCTTCTCTTAACATCACGTTGCTTTGCTGTATACGAATTGCAGTCAAGTGACTTAGTACCAATAGGTGTGACTTCAGGTATTTGTTGAGACTTTCTTCAGCGTTCTTCCAGACGTACATGAACAAGGATGAAAAGTAGCTGATGTAGATATCATAAAATATGTCTGCCGTACTTGAGAACTGTTGCTCCTTCTTGCTTAAATACCTTGTCGACTTAAAACATCGCAGACATGTCTTGTGGCTCTGAAGGAACATAAGAAAACTGAAGGAGTCTTGATACCTCTCTATCTAAATACACTGAGATGTGAAATTCAGGCTTTGAGAAGTTATGGGGTTCTCCTGGAAAAACTGCTCCATTGGAGTAACAAAACCTGGTTTACGTTACTTCATTTTGCTGTTTTAATGCTTGCTCCTTCATTGAGCTTTTATGTATTTCATCATGAGCTTTTAGTATATATATAATTTCAGATTTTCAAAATTGAGTGCTAGTTTAAAATCTGTTTGAACTGTCCCTTGCCTGGAAGTCCCATCACAAATCTTTTTGTCACCAAGGAAGGAGTTGTGTGGAACAGCTGCCTGAACCAGGCTTGAACGCACCTAGCAGAGAAATTTCGTCAGTTTAGGGGTATTGGTAATTTGGAAGTTCGTATGTTAATGTTTGCAAAAGGCCTCGTATAGGCACAAGCTGTACCCCTAAAGGCATTTTTATTAGTACAGTATAGATCTGTGTGATGTGGGAGTGGCCAGCTGATTTTCACAAATGTTACAACTTTTCCTCCTGTGGAATTAGGTTGTAATTGCCATCATTTGATACGTTTGCTTCTGTCACCATACTGTCTTTTCATAGTAGGCTCCAATCCTTTAGGCTACTGGGATTTCTGCAGCTTGTTCGGCTGACTTGTGCTCCTTCCTGTCTCGTAAGTGCAGCTTTTTCTGAGGAGGTTTTGCCAGTTTTTACTTGAATAAAACAGAGTGGAGTTTATTGACATTGGAGGTTTGGATTTTCATCTTGTTGGTGGTGCTGGACTTAAAACAGTAAAAATTTTATGAAGAATTGAACTTCAAATGCCATTTGTGTGCTTATTAAGATAACTTCACATTTCCTACTAATTCCATGATGTTTTTCCAGCTGAACGAGCTTTGGATACCATGAACTTTGATGTCATTAAAGGCAAACCAGTGCGCATCATGTGGTCTCAGCGCGATCCGTCTCTACGCAAAAGTGGTGTCGGAAACATCTTCATCAAAAACTTGGACAAATCAATTGATAACAAAGCTTTGTACGACACATTTTCTGCTTTTGGAAACATCCTGTCTTGTAAGGTTAGTGCAGAATTATTGGTGTGTTTAATGGTTTGATGCAAAAAAACCCTCAATTTATGCTGGAAACATTCCATGAGTACTACAACAGGGTTTTTCTTTAATAGGTGGTATGTGATGAAAATGGATCCAAAGGTTATGGATTTGTACATTTTGAGACACAAGAAGCTGCAGAAAGAGCTATCGAAAAAATGAATGGTATGCTGCTTAATGACCGCAAAGTGTAAGTACATAAGCACGTAGTTGGGGATCAACAGACTGAAGCTCATTTTACAGCAGACAAATATTTGAAGCTTACCTAGAAAAGACAGGTTGTTCTAAAAATTTCTAGTTTTAAAGAGAATTTAGAATTTTAGTGCTAGAAATACTATGAATTGTATCATCTGCCTATTCTAAAGGCAGAATAAGTTCAGAAAATGCTAATAATGGACTCTAGGGAAAAAACTATTGTGTTAGTTCTATTACAAGCCAATGCTGTAATGGGGATTTGGGAGCTTCTCTGGTTTTCTGATCATACTGGTCTGAGATACAATATAGTCCATTGGGTATTCTGAATAATACTTTCTTCAGAAGAGTTGAGGTAGATACGTTATCCATTTTTTGGATGAAACTTAAACCTTTAGAGTTAGTCCGGAATAGCATTTGGATTACACTAATGTTTTCATATGAATGTCTGTTAAGAGGCATATCTAGGACATGGGAGTATAAAATAAAACTTATATGAACATGTTTTAAACATTATCACTGTTTTATTCTGTAGGAAAAAAAGTTATTTGGTTAGCTGATTAGTGATACCTAATCAGCTTGAGGGGCAAGTGGGAAGGGGGCAAGTGGGCCTCAGCTATGCCTAAGGGATTGTTATGGTATTTGGTATAGTTGCAAAATAATAGCTCTGTAAATAGTTGAGAGGGTTTGGGAAAAGGATGACAGAAATTAGCATCAGCTTACCGTCATGGATTATTTTCACATGTAGAGATGGATGGATCATCAGGGAGAACATAGATTTTTTTGAAACTAGTTTTCCTGCTTCTTCTGTGCTTGACTGGCATCCTGTGGATGTTTTTACTCAGCTTGCATCTTTATACGACCTTTTTAAACTAGTGAAAACAGGTCAGCATGTAGTCCTAAAAGCTCATAATTTATGTAAACTTTGTTTGCTTTGAATTTCTATTCAGGCTAGGCTTTTGAAAGAGAATTAAAGCTCTTCACTCACTATCAAAATCTGCTGAACACATTTTTCGTGCTGTCATTGGTTACTATAAATCGAGTGAAGTCAAAATTTAAGAAAATGTTGAGTTGCTGTATGCCACTTTATTGGATTTGTCAGATTTGGGACAGTGAAGTTGGACAATACAGTAAAATTTGAGAGCAAAAGTGTACTACAATCAGAAATCGGTGTTGTCCGTGAAACGTCTGTACTAGAGCAGTTCCTTGGGTCACAGTGTCGAGTTCGGCTTCTGTTCTTTCTCTGATGGTACGAACTGACCTTTGGTGTTCTCAGCCAATTTTGTGGTGGTGTTTGAAGAACACGTTGAACTATTTATTTCTCTATGCCACTCTCACAAAAAAAACCTCAAAACCAAACAAAAGTGTTGCTTTGATATAGGCTGGAAAGGTGTGTAAGGGAGTGGGAGATGTTAGTTAAATATCCCTTGCTTAAAAGCTGGATCGGAGAACAGTAACTGCTTAAGGCTGCCAAGTTTTCAGTATGGTAGAGAGATTATGCTGATACCTAGAATTTCTTTTCAGCCACTTCACCTCTTTCCCACCGCCCAGCTCCTGTCATCAAAGGCTTTTTATAAGAGAACAGTCTCATGAAGAGCTCGAAAGCATTTTTATGCTAGTAACTGTGACAAGCACACTGATGTAGCAGAGGATAGTGAAATTGTTTTTTCTGATGGAGTTTTATCATAAATATTTTATCTAAAAAATTTCATGCCTATAATGAACAATGAGACTGATTAAGAATAAGATATGATGCCAGAGGATTAAAGAAAATTTTTAAACTTTGACAGACTTGCTTTAATCTACGCTATTCTGTTCTCCTGCAACTAGATTTGTTGGAAGGTTCAAATCCCGCAAGGAGCGTGAGGCAGAGCTTGGAGCCAGAGCAAAGGAATTCACCAATGTTTACATCAAGAATTTTGGAGAAGACATGGATGATGAGAGACTTAAGGAACTCTTTGGCAAGTTTGGTAATGTCTTAGACTTTATATAACCACGAGTGAACTTCAGCTTACTACTTTTATCTTATCTGTATAGTGCCTCATAATACAAGGAATCAGCTGGCTGGCTGATGTTTCTTTTTTAAAAAAAAAAATAGTACTGAAAAGTTGGTGCTTAATTCCAGTTTCAGATTCAAAGTGCAGTAATATCTACTGCTGAATTTTAAATAGCCAGAATAGTATATATAATCCTGCCATCAGAATGGTTTTCGATAATATGAAAATAATATATCTAAATGGTCTTTTGAATGGGTTTTGCAAATTTTTTTTTGATTTTTTTTTCTGGTTTAATACAGAGTGATGTTATGAATTCACTACAGGATACACGACAAATGAGATTGCTGTTGCTTTCATTGGCCTGCAGACTTGTCTTTACTCAGGATATCCTTGCCTTCGTTATTCAGTTGCATTGTGGTGGTTGACCTAGTATGAAATTGTAAGGAACTTTTCCATTGGCAACCTATTTGGTTCTGTCTTGAGCCTCGGTTATTCACAGGGCAAAATTATGGCAGACATATGAACATGATAGTGATGTGTATGATGTGTCACCATCGACATAGGAAATGGCAAACTCCTTGATTCGGTTACAGATTCTTACACTGGTTTAGAGGGCACATCTATTTTATTTTCAGCCTCAGCTTTTTTTCTTATTATTTTCTTTCCTCCATGCTTTTGCTGTTCTTTGGTGGATATCATGTAAAGCAAGACAAAGCCTTGTATATGAGAGATTCTATAGCAGCCCTAAGCAGCATTTACAGGAAATTCCTTTCCACTATTGAAGTATCTGTGGTTGAAACGGTAGCAAATTTAGGTGCTAATACCAGTCTCAATTGAGTCTGTGAACTGCAATTTTTCAAAGGTTTGGAATTGCTGAACTGGGATGGCCTTTCATCGGGATAAATGGATAAGCACATACCTAACAGAAAACCCTCTTCTCTGGCTTTCAGTACCTGTTTCAGAGGATGGAAGCGCTATTGCTTTTTAAATGTAATTTTTAATGAGAAAAACAATTTCACTTCACTTTGAAGTGAAATTCCTCCTCCATTTTGGCTGAAAATACAGTAGGAAAGAAATTCAGTATGGCAGACTTCAGCTGTAATGGCTGAAGTTCAGCATCAGGGCACATCAGCAGTTTTGTATTAATGGATGATGTTTACTAGATACTCTTACTAGTGTTCAAGTCCTTTGTAATACAAGTGAAATAAACTGAATATCAGAACTTCTAAACAGGATATTCAAAACGTGAAGAGAATACACTCTGTATACAAAGCATAAGTATTTCATTCTCTTTTTAGGTCCTGCCCTAAGTGTGAAAGTTATGACTGATGAGAGTGGAAAATCCAAAGGCTTTGGCTTTGTTAGTTTTGAAAGACATGAAGATGCCCAAAAAGTAAGCTTTTGGACTTCATTTTAGGAATTCTATAGCTGAGACCCAAATAATATGTTTCATTGAGTGGTCTGAAATTTTGTGAATTCATTAAGGGTCAAGGACACTGCAATGCCTGCTTCCTAAATGACTTAGCATAGTTTCTGGCATTTAGAATGCTTTCTTATGAGCAAGTGTTGGTTGATTTGAGGAGCCTATTAAGTTAAGATACTCTGAGACTGCTGGAACCAGTGTAGAAATGGGGAATCTTGAATAATTGAATAACCTGTTGTAGTTGGGCTTAAAGGTCTCAATGAGATTTGGACTCCCTCATGCTAGGCAACATACAAGCATAACAAATTACTATATCTCTGCAAAACCCAGATGAATCATTGGATCCAATTTAGTGGCAAAAAACATTTGTGCAAGGCAGAAAGGATTGTGGTTTTGAACTTCAGTTTTTTCAGCAGGAAAGCTACTACTTTTATGGAGCATGTTTGGCACAGCTATCAGAAAGTAGTCATAGAGCCCTGTGATAGGTACTCTGAAGAGTAACTTTAGAAGAATAGTCCTCTTAATTCGTATATATGTCTGTAACGTGCCAGTTTGCTGTCTAACATAATTCTGTGTCTGCTCCTTGCTTCAATGTGTCAGTTGACTGTGGCAGTAGGGACATAACATCAGGAGCAAAACTTGGCATGGAACAAATTGGGGCAAGAAATGAAGTTTGCTTTTCAAAAGGCATTTCAGTGATTTGTCAGTAGGGCAAGTGTAGAAGGAAGACATTAGACCAAAACCTGTCTTACACCTACATTGTTCAGTCTTGCCTATATTCATTCATTAATTGTTTCTCTGACAGTAGTCAGAATCACATGTATGGTGTTTTTTTAAATAATAAAATTCTGATATCTCAGTAGGGATGTTTTTAGTGGCTTCGATTATGGAGGTATGCAATAAAACGGTGACTTCTGGTTTCAAAAATAATTGAATAAATCTGTGCCAGAGTTTCACATCTTGATAGTTGTAAGTCGAAAGAGCGTAAAGGAAAAAAGTTCTATTTTCAAACTTAATGAAAGATTAAAAATTTTAAAAACTCATATATGCTTAGCCATATGTAGCTTAACATACAGTAAAGAAAATCTGGTAGATACTACTACTGTTTCAGATGTTACTTTTAAAAACAGATGTCAGATGTGTGTGAATTACAGCCTTTCAACTTCATTTGCTTTTTTTCCTCTGCCTTTAGCAAGGTAACACTGCAGAAATAGTTCTTCATTGTGTAACTTGATTATTTGATATCTTTTTTTTCAACTTCATATAAGAATATTTTTTTGCATCCCTTGTGTCTTTTCTTTAACTGGACAGAAGCACACTCAGAAAGTAATTTCCACTTTACTTTAAGCAGGGAAATCTTGGGTATTTTGTTTCAGTTAGTGGTATTTTGGATGGAGGGGCTCTTTTTCTGGAATACTTATTTAACTATTTGTATTTGAATTACGTTTTTTTGTCCTGAAAATACACTGGAATACAAAGCACTGCTAACCTGTTGTTTATTAATGAAGGCTGTAGATGAGATGAATGGGAAAGAACTCAATGGGAAACAAATCTATGTTGGCCGGGCTCAGAAAAAGGTGGAAAGACAGACGGAGCTGAAGCGCAAGTTTGAACAAATGAAGCAGGACAGGATCACCAGATACCAGGTTCAGTTCTAATTCAAGAGGACCAACTTTATTCTGTGACGTTTTTAGATTTACACAGACCATTTACTTTAAAACATGCTGCTTTTTTTAGGGTGTAAACCTTTACGTGAAAAATCTTGATGATGGGATTGATGATGAACGTCTTCGAAAAGAATTCTCCCCATTTGGTACAATCACTAGTGCAAAGGTAAAGTTTATAGATTGTGCTCATCCTTTCTCTGAAAAGGAACACTGGTCCTTCACCAGGGAAGAGTCGTTTATTTCCATGACTAACAGATGTGACCCAGTGACTTATCACTGCTACTGTATATGTGGACATCTGCTTTCTTGATTTTTTGTGCATCTCAGGTTAAACACATATGATCATCCTTTCCGAAGTAAACTGAGTACTGATATTAATGTGAGAAAAATGACATCTTTTCAGTGCAATAATGTGCTCATTATTACTTCACTGAGATTTTCATCGGTATTTGGTAAACAATTAGCTGTTAATTAAGCAATTTTATTCCTTTTTACAAATTCAGTAAAACAAATCTGTGGTCTCATTTCTAGTAAGTTGAAAAAAGAAACTCATGCAAATTGAGTAGGGATAGATACAACATTGTCTTGTTTTAAAACTAAATTTTGTACTGACAGGTCATGATGGAAGGTGGCCGCAGCAAAGGATTTGGATTCGTATGCTTTTCATCACCAGAGGAAGCCACCAAAGCTGTCACAGAAATGAATGGTAGAATTGTGGCTACTAAACCATTATATGTAGCTCTAGCCCAGCGTAAAGAAGAGCGCCAAGCTCATCTCACCAACCAGTATATGCAGAGAATGGCAAGTGTAAGAGCAGTACCTAATCCTGTAATCAACCCCTACCAACCAGCACCTCCTTCAGGTTACTTCATGGCAGCTATCCCACAGGTATGTACAGAGATGAGTAACTGAATGTTTTGTACTGTGTATAAAATCTGTTTAGATTTAACAGTAAATAAAACTATATACCATATACCCATAAATTCAGCATTCCAATTTCATAGGAGAAAGGTGATGCCCTTCAAAAATAACAGTTACACAATGGTTTTGTATTTGACAGACTCAGAACCGTGCTGCATACTATCCTACTAATCAACTCGCTCAACTTGCTAGACCTAGTCCTCGCTGGACTGCTCAGGGTGCCAGACCTCATCGTAAGCGACTTCTTTACCTCTTTCCAGTCATTGCATTTACCTTTGCACTTTTTATTAAATACATTTTTATAGCATTACAGTATCAGTCTTCTCTTTGTCACGTTAGCGGTATTGCTTCTGAACTCTTCTCACCGTTCAGTGTTTCAGCATGTAACTTAATATATGTTCTCTAAAATACAGCATTCCAAAACATGCCTGGTGCTATCCGCCCAGCAGCACCCAGACCACCATTTAGCACCATGAGACCAGCTTCTTCACAAGTTCCACGTGTCATGTCAACGCAACGTGTTGGTGAGTTTCATTTACACAAACTTTTAAGTATTAGACTTCTCCTTTAATTTTGCTGATTCAGAATGATCTCTCAAAAGCATTTGTAAGTTCAATATCACCTGTGGCTAACACTTCCCTCCTTTTCTGGCTCTTACTAAATTAGTAAGCTAGTATCACCTTCTTGTAGTTGCTTTAAATCTTGTCCCAGCAAAGGCTCCTGCTGTGATCCCATCTCTTTAGCATGACGCATTTCTTCTTTTAGTGTGCATTTTAATAATACTGTATGACAGCTTCTGCCATCTCTAAACATTGTTGTGGCAATTGTAATAGTAGGTTGCATGTAAAAATACTAAGATGATACAATTTTAGCTCTTATTATTTTGTCATGGAATACTGTGAGCCAGTATCATGTATGCAGAACCTGCACATCACTGAATGAACCACGATTGATTGTAATGGAGTCTTAATTCTCAGAAGGTGTTAGGCAGTAGTATTTTTAGCTATCTACTTCATGAAAGTATCTTTTTTTAGTATGATTATTGACGACGTGTTCAGGAAATCAAGTGTCCTTTGAGGTTAGAATGAAATCAGATTAATACTCAACCGAAGTGTTCTCTTTTCAGCTAATACATCAACACAAACAATGGGTCCACGTCCTGCAGCAGCAGCTACTGCGGCTACTCCCGCTGTACGCACAGTACCACAATACAAATATGCTGCAGGTGTTCGTAATCCTCAGCAGCATCTTAATACACAGCCGCAGGTTGCTATGCAGCAGGTATGTCATTTTAGGAACCGGTCCATGCTTTTGCTGGTGTTTCGCAGAGGAAGGTTGGGGGTGGTGCTTATGATTAAGAGTTGTCTTTGTTATTCTGGAATTCAAGCTCTGCATTGTGGCAGTAGAGTTCAAGCCTTGAGTATATTTCAAGTTCACCTGGGACAGGACATGATCCTGTGTTACTTCGTATTTTGCAGTTGCTTGATACCTTAGCCTGAATCTTGTGTTTGCTCCACAATGGAGTGGTTGATATTAATCTCCAGCCTCACTCAGCTCTAACCAGCACTACTTGATTAAATTGACTTAGTTGTAATTTCTTCCATGTTTCTGACAGTGTAGGTATTGTTTATGCTGAGTTGTGGAACATTGGATATTTGAAGCTGCACCTAATTATGAAATAGACTTTAATTTTGAAATGGTTTTAAATTAATTTGCAGCCTGCTGTCCATGTGCAAGGTCAGGAACCCTTGACTGCTTCCATGTTGGCTTCTGCCCCTCCACAAGAACAAAAGCAGATGTTAGGTATGTACATGATATCTTTCTGTATGCCTTGTAGCAGAAGGACAAAGTACTCTGTTATCAATCTTAAAATGCAGAATAGATGGTTTTAGCAGTAGAACAAGGTGTTTGTTTCCCTTTTCTCTTAAATGCAGGCTGTGTTCATCAGATGAGATTTGTCACTGTTTAACTTTTTTCTCTGTAGGTGAACGTCTATTTCCTCTCATTCAAAGCATGCACCCTACTCTGGCGGGTAAGATCACTGGTATGTTGTTGGAGATTGACAACTCTGAACTCCTCCACATGCTCGAGTCTCCTGAGTCTCTTCGTTCGAAGGTAGGTGGACTTTGGCCTTACACTAGCTTTATCAGCAATTAAGCCTACACTGATTTAACAGGTGTTTATGCTGGCACATCGGAGTAGCAGTGATGCAACAGTGCCCCAGGGCGAGAAGCTAGAAATACCCTCTTTCAGAGGGTGGCAGTGACTTACAGTAGCAGAAACTGGAACTGTAACGTTATCCTTTTATTTCTAACAATGCAGGGCTTGTTTGTATGTGTAATATAATTTAAACTATTTCATTAATATGAATATACAGAAATTCCTGTGCTTCCCTTTGTTAATTTTTTTTTTTATTTAACAGGTTGATGAAGCTGTAGCCGTACTACAAGCCCACCAAGCTAAAGAGGCTGCTCAAAAGGCAGTTAATAATCCCACTGGGGTTCCAAGTGTTTAATAAGTAAGTTTTCTGAGCAATGTAGTTTTATAGGTTGACTAAGGCAATAGTCCTTAGACCATGGCCTTATAAGCAGCATGCTTCCAGGCTCTAAACTATAATTTGTATATACTTGCCAAAATCTAAAATTATATAGTAATTAAGAACTAAACTGCATATTGCCTTGAGTTCACTTTTGGTGAATTTGATGTCAAGTAAAATACTGATTTTTCTTTATTGCCTTCTGTGGGGTTAGTATCTTAATAATTTGTTTGTTTTTTTTTTTTTTACTGGTGACACTTTCACACGGGACATAAACAAGTGCTGAATAAGTTGTCTGTCCTAACTAAGATCCCCAGATTTTGAGACCATTCTTCCATATGCTCCATTATGTTTTAGTAATTGGAAACTGAAAATACTGCTAGTGTAGTTATTTGATTAGCCTTGGTATGCTGGCCTGAAGAGCAGGGGTGACGTGCAGTCAAGTTAGGTACAGTAACAAATTATAGCGCGTAGCTGTTGATGGAGGCCATGCTGTGCAGAGTACTGTTCAGTTTTGTCTCACCAAGTATCACAGACTTGGGATGCTTTATGTCCCGATCTCTAAAAAATGGGGGTACCTCTGAGATGCTGCTTGTAAAGAACTTTGGTATGATTGATACGGTGAAAGCCCAGAGTACTGTCGGGCTTACAGTTACCGAAAGCATATCAGAAAACATAAGGTGCTGCTTTACTATTAAAACCTAACAACGTCATTTTTGTTTGCAGAAAGATCCGGGACTACAATCTAGAACTTCGCTTCACCGAAGAAAAAAAAAATCTAAACATGGAAAAACTATTAAATATTGAGAAAAACATTGCAAAATATAAAATAAATAAAAAAAGGAAAGGAAACTTTGAAGCTTATGTACAGAGCAACGCCGGGGCTAGCAAAACAAATGTTAGTCCTAGATTACTTATTGATTTAAAATTTAAAAAAAAATAGTAAAATAAAAAATACAAATTAATGTTTTATAAACCCGGGGGAAAAGAATTTTCAGCACAGTACAAAAATTTAAAGCATTCCTTTCTTTAATTTTGTAATTCTTTACTGTGGAAAAGCTCAGAATATCACCACTGTTTTAGTTGACAGTGAGAATTGATAGCTGAGCAAAGAAACGTAATTTGGATTATAAAATTCTTGGTTTAATAAAAATTCCTTAAACACTGACTTACTTGTGATGGTTTCTTTTGTACAGTGTGCTTCTCGTAAGGCCGTCCTTCAGAATGCCAAGTTAGAACCCCAGTCTGTAGTATGTTTTAGCAGTTTCTAGAGAAGATTAGCCTACATGTAGCCACCTGTTACTGATAATACAAACTCAGGCATTTAAACAAATGTAAAGAGCAGCTAGATCCATATCTGGGTTTTAAATCCTTAATAGCATGATATCTGAGCTCTCGGCATTGTCTAATTAGAAACAGACCTCCAAATACCCTCCTTTGAGATGATCAGTAAGAAACGTTGTAATAAAAGGCCTGTGTTGAAATTGTGTAACATACCAACACGTGATCCCACTTGACCACCTGCTCGTGGTGTTCATCCTGTCAGGTTTTGGTGAAAGGAACAAATCTCTACATAGGTCTCTGCCTGTGTCTTTAGATGGCTGATGAAGCCTGAGATGGAGGCAGAGTACTAGGGATATAGGTGAATGAGCAAGGATTGGCTGCAGTAGTGTTGCAAAATTCCATTATTGTGATTTTATGAACACAAGACATTGTTAGAACAAAAAAGGTGAGGCTTCAGGTGGTAATATATTAAAAATTGAATGCATAGTAACCAAAAGATCATGCTTTCTACACAATAAAAATCCTTCTGTGGACAGGACTGCTTAATCCTCCGAGTTGGACATTTCGAATGCTGTGTTCCCTAACAGGTGAATGGCTATTGTTAGCTTCCGTACAAACACACACACACACACACACACACCCTGTTAGTAAGAGACCAATTGATTTAATTTTAGCTTTGCTCCGTTTTGAATTTGTCAATGTGCTGTACAAATCCTTCTTGTCAGAGGCAACTTTGAAAGTCTCAGCTAGCTCTTTGGTAACGAAAGTATTGAATGATTACTGAAAAAATTAGAGTGCTTTAAATCGGCAGATTTCAAAACTGAGAAAGTGATCTGAAGTTGAATGCTGTTCCTTGTTACTTAATACTCACTATAAAAATCTTTTCAGTAACTTCCAGTTGTAATGTGTCACAGAGCTCTGCATACAATGAGCTTATGCAAAAGTCGGTGGATTTTTATCAAATTTGTGGATGGTGAAAACAATTCTAGCACTTTTACTGGCTCCAGGAATCTGCGTCTTCCTGCAAAAGGTGACCTGTCTTGTTCATTCTTGTATTTGACTCATTTAAAAAAATAGAATGGAAGGGGAGGTGCCTTTTTAAAATAAATTGCTGCTTGATCTAAATCTGATCTAGTGTACAATACCATAGGAATAATCCTGTCTTCACTTGGAGCTGATAGGGCCTTCATGTCAGCTCGTGTCTTAGTCACTAAAAAGAGCATCCAAGCAGATGACCAACAGCAGCAAAAGCGAGAAGGGCCAACACTAGCACATCAGCTGTGTAATTTGCCACAGGATCTTACTGAGGTTGAGAGTTTTGCAGGATTAAAAAGGGTTGAATGCATAATTGAGAGAGACAGAGTAGCAAGAGATTTTGTAAAACTTTCAGGGGTTATGTTAGATATATTGAAGTTGTCCATCTACAGATGGGTTTATCCTATCATGGCTGCCTTGCTTTTTTCCCCTCCCTTCTTTTAAGGGAATACTTTTTGCAAACTTGCAGAATGAGAGGCATTTTCTACCCAGTTTAGCCCATAATTTGGTCTGTAAGCTGCTTAATCAAAATTGATAATGCAAGAGGAGAAAGGAGGCAGTGAAGATGGCATGTCCTCCTTTTACAGAGAAGAGAGAAAAACCTGGCAGGCTGGAATGGGGGAAAGGAACAAAGATCTGTTAGTGATGGAGGAAGGCATGATCCTTAGCCAGAGCAATCCATTGGGCTCCTGATGCTGTATTTAACGGATGCAGTTTCTACGGAGTCACAGGAAGGAATTAGCTGGTTCTTTCGGGAAGGCTCTCTGAAATGCATGTTGTATGGGGGGAATGTCAGCGTTCTCTGGATCTATTGTTGCAGTCTTAAAGCCCGACAGTATGCTTTCTGAAGTCCTCTGAAAGAAAATTCAAGAGTGCCCTTATTTTTGCCCTTGTGCAAAGATCTTCAGACTGTTTTTTTTCTGTTAAGTGAAATTGAGAAATAAGCCTAGTATAGAGCGGTGGAATTGGTCTGGCAGAAATGAATCCTGTTTAAAATTCCTCACTTCAGTGTAAAAGCATTAGGTTAAGCTTGTACAATTGTTCTGTTTGGTCCTGTCCTGGTGGAGGCAGACTGGGTTAGCCTTTAATTTGCAATATTGCTGAAGTGTTTGACTAAAATCAAGAATTTTTGAAATTGGATAGTAAACCCTACAAAGGAGGGGGTTCAAATGAGATATGTACATGATAAGAAGTTGAATGTACAATCGTAACTTTATGTAAAAGCTTTGGAGACAGCTTTAAAGACCTAAAAGATATTTAGCACCGTAATAAAAGTGTTGAAGTTTTGGATGATATTAAAGGTTTAATGGAAGGTTTAAAGGATGATCTGAACACCTAACTATTTGCAGGGCCCTAGCAGGAAAGTAAGAGCTCACCTCACTCTGTTTCCTCAGATAAGAGGTAATGTGTCTTTGGTGAGTCTGCTGGAGATAAACCAAACTGATTTTTATGTTTTGTAAAAACGTGCAAGTCATTAACCTCTTGCATATGGGAAAACTGAAAAAGGAGGACAAGAGGTGTTCTTCCAGCTTTGTACAAGGCTTTTCTTGGGCGTGTCAAGCACTAGCACCTGTACCACCCTGAAATATACGTAATTTTTGTGATGGAAGGAAAGGGTGAGGCAGTTCTGCTGAGGAGATGATGACGGCTTAAAACCCTGGGTTGGTCGGGTTTATTTCTTCCTGCTGCTTGATTACATGGTAATTCCTCACTGGGTGCCACAGATGCCTATTGAATCAATGTCTTTTCTTTAAATCTTAGAGTTGGTGATCAATATGTTGTTAGTGCCTCTATCAATGTCTCTTTGGAGTACTACTGTAAAACAACGCACCACACAGAAATCACCTATTTGATAGAGGTAGAGCATTGTCCCTTTGGGCTCACAGGCAGCCTAACGCCGTCACTTTCTTCTGCCACGTGTTCCCTCTAGTGTGTGCTAGAGGCTTTCGCTGATCCCCTACTGCCCTGCAGCCACCCAGTGCTAAGCTGATTTTGCTGGATCCTCTGGTATTTCATTCCTTCAGTCCTCCCTGTCTTCTTTTCTAACCACAGCAAATGCTTCAGAGTTCAGCAGCAGCCAAAAGCCTGTTCCTGAAGTGAACAGCAGTGTGAATGAATGAGGTACTATGTCCACCGTCCGCTTTCCCAAGCAGAACATAGCTTTATGGGCAACTAAATCAAAGGTTTGGTGTGGAGCTGATTTGGATTACATGCATTCTCTTTGCTGCTCTGCAGAAGTCCAGGGAATTTGGATTGCACTGGGTCCTGAGGGAGGAGGGGGCAAGGTGATGGAAATCAAGATGTTCCTTAGTCAGGCAATGCCATTACAGTTGCCAGCTTACGCTAATTAGGTGTCTATCCTTGAATAAATAAAAAATGATGTCTTCAGTCCTTCCACCTAAATGCATTACTGTTTTGGATTAGAATTCTTGGCAAAAAGGTTTTCTGAATTCTGCATCTAATAGCCACACTTCTGCTTGGAATAACTGAAAAAAAAACCCAAACCACCTCCCAAAAAAACAACCAGGATTTGTGTTTATTCTCAATAGGTCCAGGAATTGTGGTTGAAACCAACATGCTAGAGAGAGCCACAGTCTTGTCCTTGGGACCACAATTCACTAGGCTTTCATAGTTAACGTGTTTCAGGTATGTGGCAAAGCAGTTCCAGCCATTCTACTTGTGATGAATAAAGAAGCTCCATTTCTAGGATTGATCCTTTCATTGGAGTTGCTTCCCGAACATGAGCAACATTTTCACTCCCTGCTAGTCTCTTCATAGCTTCCCATGTACATGAGTTGTTCCTGAGAGGCTATTTGAGGTTAGAAATGCCTCCAGAGTAAATCCAGCACAGGCCTGGATTTACGGGAATCAGAGGCTACTCCCAAATAAGTCTTTATTCTTCTCTGAGATGACTTTCTATGATGTGTGTTAAGTGAGCACTTTGAATTAAACTGCCCTGTGTCCCTTGCCTCCTTCCCATTTTCCCTTTCATCAACTAGTCCTTTCCTTATAAACACCACATCCTGTGTCCCATTACATCAATTAGCTGCCTCATCAGCATCATGGCAAGGGACAGTAAGAGCCCCATACCATCTTTGCAGTGAAAAGCCACAGGAAGGCTACACAGTCCAGCTAGGAAATGCTGCAGGTCTCTGGTCTTCTCCAATGGAGTTTCAAAGGCAGTGTGCTGACTTGAAGAGGATCTGCAGCTCAACTGCTAGCAAAGGAGGTGAGTCTAGGACCTCCCTATTCTCATATGGAGATTTGAAACCTGGGGAATCCTCGTAGGGCCTACTGCCACCGGGTGACGATTTGCTTTTGGGATCCTGTCTCTTCTGAGCCAGCATCTCGCTCACTGCCTCCCCTCCTCACAGGTTTTTCCTCAATTGACAAGCCAGGAGGAGCACACAAAAAACCCTCAAGACATGATTCCTCAACAAGGCTGGCAGAGATTTCAGCACACCAGCAGCCTAACTGCTGGGTTTAGGCAACTGCGAGTCCATGTGGTACAACTACCTCTATGAGGGAAAGCTTTTAGTTCCTCTAACCTCTATAGGATGTGGTCAGTAATGATGGATATTAGCTATATACAGATGAAAACTCAGCTGGCAGGGTTACAAATCCTTAGGACCTGGCATTTGAAGCAAATCCAAATTTGAAATAAGTGTTTTCAGCTACACTAAGACCACAGGGTGCATGTGTAGTTGGAGCTCCCTTTGAAGGACTTGCGCAACAAGAACAAAGGAAAGAATATTTTTTGAAAATAATTTGAAACTTTCCTTAGATTTCTCACTCATTGTGTCAGGATTTAATGCAATCATTAAGAAAAAAAGGTAATGACGAGCTGGG